CGCGGCGCGCGCCGCGCCGGTCCGGCCTCACGTGTGACCTTGGTCAAGTCGCGCGATCTCTGGAGGGGAGCGACCCGGGTTCGAGTCCCGGGACTCTCAGTTTCCTCGCTGTGTGACCTTGGGCCAATTGCCTCACCTTTCTGAGCCTCTGGGAAGTGGGCTCTGGCCTGGCCCGCCGGTGTGCATTCACACCTGCTCTGTTGTAAAGTGAGCTCCAAGTCAACGTTAACTATTGTTCTTATTGTCAGAGTAGCCATTGTACGCCTCCGTTTTGTTTCCTGTGAAATCAGGATATCCCCAGAACCTTCCCCGTATGGTGGTTGTGAGGTTTAAAGAAGGTAAAAAGCACAGGCACAGGGCCTGGCCCATTTGAGCTGAATTACTAGTGTACGTGTGTTGTGTGGCTCAGTTTCCTCATCTGTAAAATGGGATAATAGTGCATCTGCCTCGCGGGCTGATTGACTGTCCTGCGAGGTGATGCACAGTGTCTGCAGCAGTACTGGCACACAGCAGACACTCAGTAAGTGTTGGCTGTGGATTACCAGGAGGTGGTAGGGACACGGGGGTGGGCTAGCCAGTAATGCAAAAGTTCCTGGGCCGTAGACACACTCCTTAGGGTGCCCAGCTCATTTCACCGCTCCATCAGCAGAGCCAGGGATGCTGCCTTGCACCCAATAGGCTGAATGAATGAGTATTAAAACAGGTAGGCGGGTTTCTGGAAGACAGTGAAGGGTTTTAGAGATGCTTGGAGTGTGGCAGGTGAGCAGGTTTATGGGGTGACCAAGAGGTCAAGGAGATGGCCCCAGAAGGTTTATGGAAGCATAGCTGAGGTGCTAGGATTATATGATGTCAGAGGAGGAGGCTGGAGAACCCATTGATTACAGACAGAGCAGAGTGGGGTGTGTGGCTGGACACTGAGCCTATGCCCAAGCACATGGGTTGTGAGACCCAGGAGACTGAAGGGGTGTTGGGGTGACGGTGTCATAGTTAGGTCAGGGAAGTGGGTGATTTATGGTCTCGCATATGAAGCTGGATTGGGATGTGGTTGGTGGTTTTGGACAAGGTGAACTATGGTTTAAGTTTCCGTGGTTGCTGGTGGAGGGGAATGATAAGGGGAAAAGTTAGGGCCTGACTAGGAAGGTGGAAGGGAGCTGGATTTGGAGGAGTCAGAGAGGTGGAAGGTGATTGATTAGTTGTGGTGTGCAGTTGGAGTCCTGGAGATGACCTCTGGATTGTTCCTGTACTGGACTTGATATTTGATTTCTACCCTATCCTGGGTTAGAGGGACTGGTACCACACTGACCTCAATCCTTTTGGAGTGTAAAACCAGTCTGCTGTGGTCAGGGGTCTTTATCCCTTTGTAAGACATCTAGACCCTGTGTGTTGAAATTCAACAATGAAAACTTCTAAACTCAGCAAGAAGATGCAGCTTGTTGACAAAACCCAGGGGGTGGTCTTGGCCCCTTTTTCATGGTACATTTTGTGAGGTATATTGATTTTTCACTCAGGAATCAGGTGTGGGAGAAGATTCACTGGGTCACCATTTCTGTGGTCTGGCTCCCAGCTTCATCTGAGCCTGTGGGCCTAGTGTATGGAAGAGGAGACTGATGCTTTAGCTTGATGGTTCTGCAAGTGCGCTAATAATACTCAAAGCTCAGTGTTTATGGAACTGGGAATAGTAGCCATGAAGTTCCAACTAAACTTTGGAAATTGAGCCAAAGGAGACAGGCATCACACTCTCCCTGAACTGGGGTCCTCTGTGTATGCTTCCTTAAGGCTCATCAAATGATTTCACAGATCCTCTCTCCTCTGAGCTTCATTTATTGCTGTGTAATATATCAGCTAAGGAAACTAAGGCTCAGAGGGGGTGGCTGACTTGCCCAAAGTTGCACAGCTTATCATAGTTAATGCACATCTCTGCTAATCTCTGCACGAGCAGCTGGTGTCAGGCCTGGCAAACAGTGGGCCCGCCATGAATGTGGCTTTTTTCGTGAATCTAGAGTTCTTCTTCCCACTCGGCCACATTGTACATGCTTCTGAAACATATTCCCTTGGCTTTTGCTTTTCCTCTTTATTTCTGAGTCCCTGGATTTCATCTGCAACCACTGGGCCAGAAGCTGGAGGATGGCTTGTCTGACAGAGCCCTGGTTGAAGTCTTTCATTTACAGATGAGTAAACTGAGGCTCCCAGAAGAAAAGAGATTTGTTTGAGGTTATACAACGAAGCACTTGTTGATAGTAAACGCATCACTCGAAGGTCTCAAGGCTCACCAGAAGGCTGGAATGGAAGCCACATTAGGGGACTAGCCCCCAAAACTAGCAAGAACAGGGAGGGGGTGTGCGGCAAGGCGCTGATGGGTGAGAGTAACTTCCCAGACTTCTGAGAGTCATCATGTGCTCCTTGTAGATGGGGCCCGTTGGTCAGGGGGGTTTGCCAGAAGTGGCCATGAGATGCTGCTGACTTTGACATTGAGGTTGTGGTTGTTAGGTGCCATCGAGTCAGTTCAACTTTATTTTTTAAAATAGAGCCCTTATTTTATTTCAGTACACATTGAAAAACATACAGTAACAAATAATCAGCGAAATGTTCACAGGGATATGAAATGTAAATCAAATAGAAAATACATTATTGGGGGAAAAGCTATTCCAACTATATGTTATTGCAACCCAGCTGAAGGGGAATAAATGGATAGTCTTTGAGAACTGCAGTTTGTCCCACTGACTGAGAGCAGGCTCCAGAGATGAATTGTAGAAGCCTTGTCCAGAGAACTTGTTGGCTTAGTTCCAAGGAGGAAATTTGGCTGAGTCCCCCTCTTAGAGACTCCATGTAACAGAGGAGAACTGCCCCGTGCGGTTGTCTTGGCTGTGATCTTTACGGGAGAAGATTGGCAGGTCTTTCTCCCGCGAAGTAGGGCTCTTTACTGTGACCATATTGAAGGTAGACGGGCACCACAATTTCCTCCCTCTGGTTGGGTGCTGCAGGTCCAATGGCAGCAGCAGGTTTTCTCAAGGAGGCCTCTGTCAGGACTTGGGGAAATGGCACTTCTCAGGTGGATTTCTGTCCCATCCAAGGGAAAAGTAGTCTGTGGAGGTGGTTGTGAGGCTGAAAGTGGCCACTGCTGTGGTGACTAGTGGCCTCTCTGCAGAGGTGCTTGGTGATGCTGAGCAGGGAGGGGAGAGGCCAAGCTGCATTGTGGCTTCACACAGACTTGCCTTAGATCTCAGACTTGGACTGATTTTTAAATAGGATCTCACCATCCCCCGTAGTATGGAAGCCGCTGCTTTGGCTCCTGTAGGTGCGACAGTGCAAGCGAGCGAGCATTAGGTGGCTTAGGGAGATTGTCCTGTGCCAAGTCCTAAATGCATGAGGCAGTTCTTTGCTGGCACTTACTAAGCAACCATAGCTCCGACTCATAGGAACCCTCCATAGGAATTTTGAGGCTGTAAATCTTGCAGAAGGAGCTCTGGTAGCGTAGTGGTTATGAATCTGGCTGCGAACCTTAAGGTCAGCAGTTCAAAACTGCCAGCCACTCCGTGGGAGAGAGATGAGGCTTTCTGCTCCCGTAAAGATACACAGCCTCAGAAACCCTGTACAGGGTTGCTACGGGTCGGACCAGACTCAACGGCATTTAACAACAACGAAGCAAAGTGCTAGAGCTCCTGGTGTGGTGCTGTAGGATCAGCACCCCTGCTGATCCTGTGAAGTACGGGGCTGAGGTTCGGTCCCACCAGTTACTCCTTGGAAATCCCATACAGCAGGGTTGTGATGAGTCGGAACTGACCTGACAGCACTTAACAACAACACCATGAATGCACAGGCTGAGGGAGCCAAGGTTGCCGTCTTGAGTAGCTCTCCGCCCAGAGGCCCAAACATCAGCTTTTTGCTGAGTAAGCTGGACCCAGAAGGCTCCGAGAGGAAGCCAGGGAGCCGGCAGGGCCAATGGGGTGTCGGCCTTGGGCAGAGTCTGGGAAGGACCCAGCCCAGGACTCTGCTCTCCTTGGGCTCAGCAGGAAGCTTGTCTGAGGCGCAATGAGGAAGTGGGTCTGAGAGAGAGCCCTGCCGGACCCGGGGCTGAGCAACAGAACAGGTACTGTGGGGCGCAGTACCTGTCTGTTGGTGAGAGCCTCACCCCACCTTTACTCAGTGGAAACAAGTTCTTCCGGGCATCCCCGGACAACATCCTCTCTAGAAGTACGCAGGAGATCGCTTTTGGGAGAATGTCTGGGAACCTCAGTTTTCACAGTGTAGTTGGAATTAGAGCTTCAGTGTGTCCCCAGTGTAGGAAGTGTTCCTGCATAGGATTGACCTTTGGAGTGGAGGGGTAGGGGATGGGGCAGGATGACTCGGGGACAGACCACCTGGAGTGTTGAAGTAAAGGGGAAGCCAAGTGTCTGAGGGTCCTCCTGACTTGGAATGAGTATGCCAGGAGTTGCTATGATGGCCCGAGGATTGGTGGTATAAGTGACGGCAGCAAAGGTGAAGGAGTATGGTGGCTGCAAGGTGCCTGGCAGGCAGCTCTCACTCTCTGGGTTTCAGGGTCTGTTTCCTGAGAAATGGCTCTTCCCGACTCTGTAGTTCTCTGGCTCTTCAGTTCCCTGGTTAACTGGCTTGCAAGTTGAAACTGCATGCATGATGTGCATTTTTCCAGGGACCAGGTTTAGATTGACTTTGGGGTTCAGTGTCATTTGGTTGACCTTCCTCCTGCCTTTTTTTTTTTTTTGTCATCTGGTACCTTCCTTTGAGTGGCTGGGGCCAATCCTTAGAACAGGCCGGCTCGAGTCCTTTCCCATCTCTCTCCAGAGGCTGTTGGGGCAGGTTGTCTTACACTGGGATGAAGGCAAGGACCAGGGAGGGAGTGAAGAGATGTTCTTGGTGTGTAGCTTTTTGGGGAGATAAAAATAGGCATTGAGGTGAGAGATGGGTCTCACTGAGTGTCATAGGAGTCAGGACTTCTCCCTTGGTGCCTCCCTGGAGAAGGATTGGGAAGGAGGGAGGAAGGGAGCCCTCAGTCCTCTTTCATCTCTTGGTTTCTGTCTGGCAGGTGTGGGCAAGAGCAGCTTGCTGTTACGTTTTGCAGATAACACTTTCTCAGGTGAGTGTCCCTAGGTTGCTGCTGGGGTGGGGGTTGGGGGGGGGTCGGGTTTCGGTTTCTAAATCCCCTTCCTGGTCCCAAGGAGTCCTGGTGGTGCTGTGGGTTAGGGCTAGGGCTGCTGTCAGCTCCTGTAAAGATTTGCCGTCTCGGAAACCCTTCATAGGATTGCTATGAGCTGGAATCTATTTGATGCCAGTGGGTTGGGTTAGGTCTCCCCTGGACCCCCCGGGTACTCTGGCTTTGCCTCCCACAGTGATGTGGCAGAGGCGGGTCTGAGAAAACCACCCTGAGTCCCTTTTTTTAAAATGTTTTATTGTGGATTATGTGATAGTTTACATGGGAGAACATTAGCTTTACATTCATCCTATCATATATTGTTTCATTGCCATGGTTACAATCCCCTCCATGCCTCATTAACCAACCAAAGGGTATATATACCCTGGGTCCCTTTTAAGTTGTCCTAAGAAATCTGTCCCCATAGTTTTCTTACCCATGGTCATTTTGTTCGCCAACATAAAATAATAATACATGTAACAAGGTATTATATGCTTGAGTAAAATTTCAAACAGTAAGAAAAGGCAGAACTGTCCCTCTACCTGTCTTCTGTGCTGACCTTTCACCTAGGCTCAGTGAGGTGTGTGGTTTCCCATCTCTTCTCTGAGCAACTTGCCTTCCCCACCAAATGCCAGGAACGTCCTTCCTCTAGCGTAGATGGTCTCTGGATCTCTGGAATGTGGATGGGTTGCACCTTCACTCACTCACTGTTGGCTGGTATAATGTACCTTTGTGGTCGAATCTGTCATAAGTGCTACCAAGTAGTTGAGCACGTTGTATATACAGTCTTGTCGCTGTGATACATTGTAAGGATATGCTGGTGTATTGTACAGGCCTCCTCCTACAGAATGGAGATAACTGGGTCAGAGGGAGCATGGTGGCTCCATTGAATAAGCACTGGACTGAGAACCACAGATCCATGGTTCGAGCCCATCAGTTGGTCCACAGGAGAAAGATGAGGCTTTCTTTTTCTGTGAAGATTTAAAGCCTCGGAAACCCTGTTCAGAATCACTATAAGTCAGAAACAACTATGTTAGAGGTTATATGCATTGAAAATGTTCTTCACTGCCTCACCCCTACCCCCCAAAAAAAGATAAACCTATTGACGTGTTGTTAGACTCATAGCCACCCTACAAGGCAGGCAGTGTGTAAATGCTCCATGAGTGTTTAAAGCGGTCAGCGTAATGGGAGCAGAGTGCCTCATGTTTTTCCCACAGAGAGGCTAGTGGGTTTACACCTGACCTTTTGGTGTGCCACTGTGTTACCAGAACTCCCTGTAGTTTTTCTTAGGTACTGCTAAATAGTCTTTTCACAAAACTGTACTAACAAACTCGTTAATGAAGGAGTTTGGAAGTGTCCCTCGCCAACTCAAATCATTCTGCCTTCTTAGTTGGCATCTTCATTTTTGCTGATAGGCAAAAAGAGGCGCCTCATTTAAATTTGTGTTTCCCCCCAAACTGAGGCTAAGCATGCTTTCATCTGGGTCATTATAGAGGCTGGGTTGTGTTGGTAACTGGGGTGAAGGACTGACCCGTGATTATCTTGGGGTTCACTTCAAGGGCTTGAGGGCAAACTAGAAGTCATTTAGTAATTGCTGATTGCCAGGGTAAATGGGGGCCCTGCAACACGCTGGTGGGTTCTCCCTGTGACCCTGAGCCAGTGACCAAGTCTCAACCCATCTGTAAAGTGTGAATAATAATAGTCTTTCCACAGGGTGGTGGAAGATTACCTCGTGATACATGCTATAGTGTTTCTCCACCAGTATTATTAGGTATTTGTCACTGTTAACTTCTCTTCAACTGTTGTTGTTTTTGTTATGTGCCATCGAGTTGGTTCTGACCCACAGCGGCCCTGTATTGGGTTTCCAAGGAGCTGCTGCTGAGCTTGAACCACCAACCTTGTAGTTCAAACTGACCTTGCATTCCAGCACATTATCCCACAGCGCCACACCAGGACTCCCAGTAAATTAGTGAGCAGCCTTTAGCTCTGCTCCTAAATGTTCCTCTTCTCCAGCTCCTCATCTAATCATCTTCCAAAGCCTGGAGGACTCTTTTGCAGTTTCTCCTCGTTTTGTTTCAACTGATGCTTACCTAGTCCAGACCACTGTGGGTTCTAGCCTGAAGTGGCACAGTAGCTCCGACATAAGACTGTCAGATCCATCCTAATAATGTGGCTCTGGACCAAGGTGCTCCACTTGTAACCAAAAGCCTGGTGGTTTGAGTCCACCTACAGGCACCTGGAAGGAGCCCTGTTAGTGTACTGGATTAGGTGCTGGGCTGCTAACCTCAGTGTCAGTAGTTTGAATCTACCAGTTACTCCAAGGGAGGAAGATGAGGCTTTCTTATTCCCGTAAAGATTTACAACCTCAGAAATCCTATAAGGATCACTTTGAGTCGGAACCAACTCTGTCCATGGCACACCACCACCACCTGGGATTCGACGTTCGAAAAAATCAACTGTAGAAACCCTGGGGAGCATAGTTCTATGTTGGCAGCGGGTATGCTCTGGCTGAGGCCCCGTCCCTCCTCAGCACCTCCCTGTTACCTGAGCAAAGTTTGCTGCAAGACTTCTCCACCTTAGTGCTGTGACATTTTGGGTGAGGGAGTTCCTTGTGGAACTGGCCTGTACATTGCAGGATGCCTTGTTTCTCTCCACTCAATGCTGGTACCACCCCGTTAGTGGTGACAACTATAAATGCCTCCCTGGTGGTGCTGTGAGTTAATGCGCCAGATTGCAAAGCTGTTTGAACTGCAAGGTAGGTGGTTCAAGCTCACCAGCTGCTCCTTGGAAACCCTGTGCAGGGTTGCTATGGGTCGGAACCAACTCAACGGCACTTAACAACAACAACAACAACAACACCCCTCAGCCTGGTGTGGCGCCTAAGGGTAATGTGCTGGACCGCAGGGTCAGTTTCACTCTCAAGGTCAGTAGTTCAAACTCATAGCCACTCCTTGAAAATCCTATACAGGATCACTGTGAGTTGAAAGTGACTGGACGGCACTTAACAACAAATGCCCACTGCCATTGACTTGCTTCCAACTTACAGCAACCCTACAAGACCAGAGTAGTGTATGGTGTCTGAGAGTGCATCTTTACGGGGACAGCCAGCCTCATCTTTCTCTTGTCGACCTTGTGGTTAGTAGTTCAACATTTCCACACCACCAGGGCTCCTCAGAAATGCTACCATCATTACTAATGTCCCCTGGGGACAAAATCACCCTCAGTTGAGAACCACTGGTTTATAGTCTCAGCATGGCGTTCAAAGGGCTTCATAATCTGTTCCAGTTTGCCTCTCAACTTCCTCATACTGTTTGTTCCTTCTCTTGTTCGTTCCCTCACTTTGTCCACTTACTCATTCAGTTAGCTGGTAGCTGTTTACTGAGCTCCTGATAGTGCTGGGTGCTGGGCCCCACCCTTTGACGTTCTCTGGGCCTGGAAGACTCCACAGGCTGGCTTGTTCTCTGCATACATTCCGTGTGTGCTTTGGTGTGCACTCTGCTTCTCTGTAGGATGTCTGCCCTCGCCTCTTCTTGGCCTTTAACATCTGAATAGTTCTTACTTATTTTGGGCGTCTTGTCTCCTAAAACAGAGAGCCCTGGTGACTCACAGGTTAGTTCTCAACTGCTAACCAAAAGTTGGTGGTTCACACCTGCCAACTGCACCATGGGAGAGAGATACGGCTGCTTTTGTAAAGATGACAGCCGTGGCAAACTATCGGGCAGCGTGGGAACTCTGCCCTGTAGGGTCACCGTGTGGGGAATGGACTGCATAGCAGTAGGCTTGGGGCTTTCTTTTTTGTTGTTGTTTTTCTGTCCTACATGTTAACTTTCAAAAGGATCAGCCTTTGGGCTGCAAAAATGTCTGCTCCATGGTAAGCAGTCAAAGTGTTGGCTCCAGTGTCGCTTCCAAAAGGAGCAAGAGCACGCATGTTTGACCTTTTGTAAGCCCGGACTAGAAATTCTCTCCTGGTCTTCCCAGGCCCTGATTAAAACCAGCTCTATCCCTGCTTGACAACGGCTCACGGCCTCCCTCTCCCTGCCTTGCACCTCAAGCTTGACCCCAACTTGCAGTGCACGCGCGCACACACACACACATATACCAGTGCTGCCTTGTAACTCGCTCCTCTACCTGGAATGGGCTTTCAGACGGCAGGTTGGAGCAGTCTGGGTCTGAGTTAGTGTTCTTATTGCTAATTGGTCTCAAGTTGGTTCCAACTCATAGCGACCCTGGACAGGGTTTCTGAGGAACCACTGGTGGGTTTGAACCACTGATCTTGCAGTTAGCAGTCCAATGCTTATCCTGTAGCACCATACCAGGACTGTTTGTGGGTTAGGAAGTACATTTTGTGGGTCTTTAAAATGTTTTGAGAGAAAGGAAAAGTCCCAAGGCTTTCATAGGTCTCCCCCTGTTCTCAGACCCCAGCTGACAGTTCCCACCCTGACCACTCTGTCACCTCACCCGCTCTCGTTACCTTGGTAGCACTTGTCTTAGTTGTAAGGACTCTTCGTCCTCGCTTTGCTGGATTATATTTGGTCTGATACTCAGCTGAGTAGAGACTATCAGGGGTGGGCCCTGGTCTCCATGCAGCCTGGAATTGAGCACTGTGACATGGTGCCTTGTGTGTAGGCAGCTACATCACCACCATCGGCGTAGACTTCAAGATCCGCACTGTGGAGATCAATGGTGAGAAAGTGAAGCTGCAGATCTGGGACACGGCTGGCCAAGAGCGCTTCCGCACCATCACCTCCACGTGAGTCTGCCTGCCGGCATCGCCATCCACCTGGGTACCAGGGGCAGGTGGCACCATGGCGTGGTGCAGGTGGCACTGAAGGGGGCAGCCTGGGACTCTGGGGATGGGAGTTTCTTGTTGGCCCTGGTTGGATTGCATTTGGCTGCCACAAGAGGGGCCGGCCACTGCCCATGGGTGGACAGTGACTGGACATTCGCTTCAGGAGTCTCTCAGGGAAGTAGTTTTGGGATCTTGGAGCAGGCAGCTTCCCCTCTGACCCTCTCTGGTCCTTGAAAAGGCCAGCAGCAGCAGGAAGTTCAGCTGGGAGCTGTGCTGGGCCCTGCTTGGGTGAGTGGCTTCACTGCTGTGACCAGGGACACCTGGCCCCCCCAGCGATCGTACCGCTTCACTGCTGTGCAGCCCCTTTTGTGGTTTGTCACTGTGACAGGAGGCGAAATCCGGCACCGGCTCTGGACAGAAGCCCTGGGGAGGGGCTCTGGGATGTTGGGCTGGTGCTGAAACAGGTTCCAACAAAGATCAGACATTCATGGTGTGGCTCCGTTCTGCTGGCCCCCGGGGTGGTGTTCAGGACTAGCTTTATGGTGCCAGTCATGGAGCTTTGGGTACCCAGGGGTTCCCCCTGACCTCCGATAGAGGAGCTGCTTTGAGAGGTGACCCTGCTCCTCGTGACGTCAGGCCTGTCACCGGGCCTGGAAGCTGTTGGGGCCGCTTCTCTAGGAATCACCTTTCCCTCCCTGCGGAGCAGCTCCTCTGCCACAGGTATTGTCAGGGGACCAGAGAGCCAGTCCTCCCTGTAGCTGGGCAGAACCCCAGCTGAGTGCCCTTCCTGAGTTCCTCAGGATCCTAGTGGATTGAGGAGGCGACTACTACCAGGATGGGGCTCATTTGACACTGGGGTGTCACTAGGTCCTTGGTTCCCTGTGCTGGATGCAGCCCAGGGGCTGCCTGCATGGAGCTCTTCCAGCCTTCCTGTATCTCACCAGCCACCAGTGGACCCCAAGGAGAACGGCCAGGACCAGAGAGTGTCTGGATAGATGTCCTCACTCTGGGTTGGAGACTGTCATTCAAGGCTGCTCCTACCTAATCTTAGTCAATCTTGATAGTACCCTGTATTTATGCCCATTTTCTAGACAGGGACACTGAGGCCCTGAAAGGTGGCAGAGTCTTGGCTTGGCTGGTAAGTGGAGGGGTCAGGATTTGAAGATGGGTCTGTGGCTCCAGAGGGCCCATGCACCTGACCAGTCCCCCTCTTCTGTGTTCCCCAGGAGGCTCCTGTGATACCAGCCCTGCAGGGAGGAGCAGAGCACACTGGGCCTGTGGGCACAGGAATGCTGACTGTGCTGGGCCTGGGGCCTTTTGTTGGCAGGAACCCCTGCCTTGCCCCTGTCTGGCCTACAGGCTGGGTGGCTAGGGGACTGGTACACAAGGCTTTGCATTCTGTTAGGAGACTTGGAGGCCTTACTCAGCTGCCTGAGGGCATTGTGGTTCTCCAGGGCGCTTGGGATTAGGAGGGGTGGCCCTATATTCAGTGGCCAGCTCTCCACTGGCCGCCCTTCCTCTCTGTATAGGGGCTGGGGGCATGACCCCTTCTTAACTTCTTGACTCTGGCTCTTGGGGTGCCGGGGCCACAGGGAAAGGAGGGCACTGACGGTGATGCTACCTGACACTCGTGCAGAGCTTGGGGACGTTTCAGGAGTTTGGTGTCTTGTCAGGGAATCAGCAGTCGGTAGAGTGGCGTGACCTTCGATTCAGGGCATTAAAAGAGAAACTAAAACCACATCCTGTTAGCCTGTTGTCCCCCTTCTGACCTGAGAGGCGGCAGTGCTGGCTGGAGGAGGAGTTGGGGGCAATGTGGGGGGTCAGAGGTGATGAGGAAGAGGACTCCTTTGAGACCTGGCCCCTTGGGAATGAGACCCAGATGTTGTTCCCCCTCCCCCCCCGCCAGCCCCACACCCCCCGGGGTCCAGGCTGGTGGATGACCTTGGCTGTGGCTGTTAATGGTGACAGTGATCAGGAGCCTTTCTACTAATGCTCAGACTTGTGGACACGTCCCGAGAACACGGGCTCGGGGCTCGGGGCCTGGGCTCCCATGGTGTCAGAGCCTGGGAGGGACTTAGCGCTGACTGAGGGCGGACTGTCTGGCCCCGGGTGGGATTCTGCTCAGGGGCACCACCTTGTGGTGACAGACGTTGTCTCCTTCATTCCTCATAGCCTCCAAGAGGGATCACCATCAGCCCATTTTATAGCTGGGGGAACTGAGCCTCAGAGAAGTGAAGTGTCCTTTCATAGGTCAGGGTGGGTTTTCTTCTCAGCCTGGGCTGGGCCTGCAATGGCAGGCAGGTCAAGGGTATGTACTCACATCAGGACCGGGTTGGGGAGGGGTGGGTACTGCTGGAGGTCAGGAGGGGAGCAGCCTGCACTGTGGGGAGTCTTCCTGAGGGACACATTGGGTGATTCTGTAGTGGGGGCATCCTTCTCAGGGTCCCCAAGCCATCTGCATGCATGGGGATGTGCTAGCGGTTTGGCTGAGGAACAATTTACGTCCTCCTTCCTTGCAGGCCTAGCTCGGGTCCTGGGGTCTGCACACTGAGGATAGTGAGTGTATCAGGGCCCCCGCCCTAAACCATCCCTAACCTCCAGGTGGTCACAGCTGGTGCAACTTCTTGGAATGGCATTTGATGAAAATAAATTCGAGGAGAGAGAACGTTTATAATAAAAAAAAACTCACAGGGGTAACAGTTTATCAAATTAAAAATTACTTGAATTTTAGAAATAAACGGCCTAGAAAGTGTTTCACTCGAGGAGCTGTGCTTGTGGTCGCCCCTCAGGCTGAGGGCTTCCTGGGCCCAGTGACCTTTCCTGTTGCCTAGGGTGTGGTCTGAGTGTGGCCAGGGAGGCCTGGACTTGGGGTGACTGGCAGAAAGTTCTTGCCCAGGCTGAAGGTGTGATTCAGACTTTGACCTTCTAGGTATTATCGGGGTACCCATGGGGTCATCGTGGTTTACGATGTCACCAGCGCAGAATCCTTTGTCAATGTCAAGCGGTGGCTTCACGAAATCAACCAGAACTGTGATGACGTCTGCCGGATATTAGGTGAGGCCACAGGGGTGAGGGGGGTGGGAAACGGGACCCGCAGGTACAGGTGGGGGAGCAGAGCCAGAGTTTACTCTTTTCTGTCTTCAAGTGGGGAACAAGAATGATGATCCTGAGCGTAAGGTGGTGGAGACAGAAGACGCCTACAAATTCGCTGGGCAGATGGGGATCCAGTTGTTTGAGACCAGTGCCAAGGAAAACGTCAATGTGGAGGAGGTGAGGCTGGCCCTGGCCCTGGTGGAGCCTCGTCCCGCTCCATGCTAGCTCTCAGGGCACACTAGCTGCCATGTATTGAGTGTCCGCTCTGCACCAGGCTTTGTGCTGAGCACGCCAAAGGTGGTCATGTTTTCAGGGGAAAATTACACAGTAAATCAGGTTTCTCGTTGACAAGTTCCATACACATTGTTCAGTGACGTTAGTTACACTTTTCAGAATGTATCAATATTATAAGTGTGTTCTGGTGGTTCTGTTTCCATTGCTCTAGGTTCTCTAACCCCCGAATTTTCTTGTCTTAGCTTTAGAGTAGTGGTTGATCCTTGGTGTTAGTTCATTTCTCATTAGTCTTCTGAGGTAAGTGTAATTATGCCTACGTTTCAGATAGGGAGAGTGAGGCTCCCAAGTGGTTATATAATTCTAGGAATGTCTCCCAGTTCTAAGTAGCTGGAGGAACCCTGGTGGCACACTAGTTATAACCACTGTGCTAGCAACCAAAAGGTCAGCGGTTCAAACCCACCAGCTGCTCTGTGGGAGAAAGCTGTGGCAATCTGCTTCCGTAAAAAAATTAGAGCTTTAGAAATCCTATGTGTCACTTCTACTCTGTCCTACAGGGTTACTGGGAGATGGGACCGACTCCATGGCAGTGAGTGGTTTGGTTTTAGTTAACTAGCTGGATTGAACTCAGATAGGTCTCTCAGCAAAGCCACGTACAGTGAGGGACATGCCTCACTGACCGTGTGGCTCGCTGTCCTCTTCCCTGACAGCAGCATTGTCAGGCTCTCCCACTGTTCTCCCTGGGCCCCGACCTCCCTGCAGACCATGCTGTTTCTGAGGGTGCGGGGAGGAGAGGGGCTTGTGTTGGGCCTGCGGGGAAGCAGTTGTGATGCTGAGGGAAAACAGATCTTTAGCCACAAGCTGTGTGGCCCCACTGCATCCTGGGAATGCACGGTGGTGAGAGGAGGGTGACTGTCACCTGGGGAGAGTGCAAGTCCCTGCCTCCCAGTGTGAAGATGGCATGACATGGTTACATCCCTGTTATTAAAGGAGAATGGTGTAGACGGGCACATGGAATCTCCCAGGCTTGGTTTTAGAAGGCCCCTAGGGTGACCTGGGAAAGGGTGTAGGCAGTAGCAGCTCCACCTTTATGTATCTTGTCATAAGATTCCAGTGAAAGAAATGGGGTTCTTTTGCTGCTTAAAAAAAGAAATTGGAGCTTGTGGGTGGGTCTTTGGTGTTGGTCGTTTTTGGCCTTTAAATGAGCCGATCTCCTGGTACGTCTTTCCAGAAGGGGTTTGCAGATGCTTGCAGTTAAGGCCCCACACACAACACAAAAGGGAGGAGTGTGTCAGACTGGCAAGCCGGGCTGCGCAGGCAGGCGGGCGGGCAGGTGGGCTGGTGCCACCTCGCTGCTCTGAGGTCACCTGCTTGCTCTCATTTCCACAGATGTTCAACTGCATCACAGAGCTGGTCCTCCGGGCAAAGAAAGACAACCTAGCGAAACAGCAGCAGCAGCAACAGAATGACGTGGTGAAGCTCACGAAGAACAGTAAACGAAAGAAACGCTGCTGTTAATGGCCACTGGCTGCCGCAGGGACTGCACTGCGGTCGCTCCTCGGGGGACAGTCTCAGTTCTGTGCCGTTATTTAAAGAATTCTCTCCATGTTTTTGTATCTGGAGGCGCCGTCGGCACTTCCTCCCTCTTCCCCCCCTCGAGTGCCAAGAAGGTGTTGGACAAACCTGCCCTTCCCTGCTGGTGCCCCTGCCCTGGCCCAGGCACCTGGACCTGGCTGGGATGCTGCCAGCGCATGGACGAGTCACCAGTCTGTACATAATGTATATTGCGTTAACCAGCCGCAGCCCCTCGTCCTGCTCTGGCTTTTGCCTCCTAATGCCAGCCTGCTGCAACAGACCCTGATCCCACCCCTTCCCGAAGTTCTCTCTGTGGAGACAGGACCGCGTCTGACCACGTCTTCTTCCACCCGGCCTGGGGGTGTGGGCCCCCTGTTATGTCTCTCCTGCAGCAGGTGTTGGTTGCTGCCCAAGCCTGCGCTATCTCTGCCCCTGCTCGCCTCCCCAAGAGGGGAGCCAAGAGGCCCCACATTCCGTGAGGACGCCAGTCCTGTCTCCAGTCTCTTCTGAGCCACAAGCCTGGGTAGGGGAGCAGAGGCACCTACTTTATACCAAATGTTCCAATCCCAACAGAAAGGTAGGGAAAGGTTTTGCAGAGGTGTGGCTGCCAGGAGGGCTGGAGTTCTTTTAGGTAAAGACAGTTCAGCCAAATCCAATGAATGAAGTTCCACCCACTTCTTTGCTCTCCCTGCACTTTGATTGGCATGGCATCCAAACTTGTGGCTCCCCCAAGCCCAAGGCCACTGTGGGCCAGTGTTTTTAGTTGGTCTCGTGGGGCTGGGTTCCTGGCAGTCACTTTGCCTTTCTGTTTTTGATGGGGATGGTGACCAAGCCTCCCGCTCTGGTCGGTGCTCCGTCCAGGGTCCCCACCGGAATTCTGGGGGCTTTATAGAACTTGAGTTGTGATGGGGGCTGCTGGACAGTGGGACGACACCTGAGTTGGGCTGACTGGCAGCTGTGGACACTGACAGACTGAGTACGAAGGTGACACGAGGCTTAGGTAGGAGGAGTGATGTGGGGGAGGGAGGGCTGGCAGCTGTGACTGGCGTGCCCTGGAGGGAAAACCCAGGGGCATCAGCACAGATTATGGCCCCCCTCACCCCTGCTCCGGACACCTCCTTTACCTCCCCTCCACCCCAGAGGATCATGGGATTTGATTTGTTTCCTTCTGATGGACAATCACGCCACAACTCACACTGCAGATTGTGTAGACACTGCTGGAAGTGTTTGTAATCCATAGACTGAGGGTTTCTTCTGACCTTCTGCTTTCCTGGCCCCACCATGGAGCCGTGGGACAGTTGGGAGTTCTGGGGGCCGGCGGCCCTGCTTTCGTCTTGCCTGGGATCAATGAAAGTGGAAGCCTGACCTCAGTCATCAAGACTGTCTTGGTGGGACATGGGTGCTGCTAGGGACAGGTGGAGCTGGGGCTCTGTGGGGAGGGTGGGCATACGTGACTGCTAACAGGGCTCAGGTGAACCCCGTGAGTGCAGATTCACACAGTAAGGGCAGCCCCAGCTGGGGGTGCATCCCCAGGGTCATACACAAAGGAGGGGGTGGGATATCCTGGTGGAGCCGATGTGAAGTTTCCTGTCAAACAAACTTTTCACTGGTTTGCTAGGATTATTTCTGTACGGAAAATTTCTAATTATGCTTTTTAAAAAAATACTAAAAATAAAGGCTCAAGCTGCCAAATTTTCTTTCAGGATCTATTTCCTCCAGCTGTACTCTGGGTGTGTCCTGCCTGCGCACGCATGCTGAGGACCTAGGCCACCTTCCCAAGCCATCCTTCTCTGGGGAAGGCAGGTCCAGGCTGCACGTCCCTCTGCCAGCCAGTGGCCGGCACACTGGTAAAGAGGCCAGGGCAAATGTTGGGTCCCTCTTGTGTCAGTGGGGGTAGTGGAGCATGTGTTTCTGCTTGTTCTGCCTGCCATCTCTGCTCCCAGAGCAGCTGTCACGGGTGACAGAGGCCCCCACCTCAGGAGCTGACCTTTCCAGCTGAGTCACCGGTGAGGTCCCTCTCAATGGGACCAGGACTCCCACCTGTCCCTGTCAACTGCCTGCTGACCAGTCAGTCTCTTTGGAAACTCAATGACTGAGGCAGGAAGCTCTGTAGAAACTCGTTTTATTCTTTATTCAGACTATTTTCAAAAGAAGCAGTGGTGCGCTGTTTTTCTAAAAATATGCCTTTATAGATTTATATATAATATGTATATTATAAAATCCATACATGTATTTACAGGATTGCTACATACAAAAGTTACAGCACTGTGGTATGTACATATCTATAGGGACATTCTTGCCACTCGCCCGTGCTGCTGTGTTTGCCAGGAGGCAGCTGCAGGGGACTCCGGCATCGCCTGGCGCCTCAGCAGAAGGTGGGCGGTGGCGGCTGAGGAAGGGGCTTAAGCAGTAGGGGTGGGGCTCCCAGCAGTGCCCTGTCCACCCCCCACCCCCATGCCAAGGCTGCCCTTGCCCTGGGGTGGCTGACCACAAACCCCAAGGGGGCTATCCTGTGGCCTGTCCGGGCAGACTGTTTCCGGGAGACGTGGAAGGCCTAGAAAAAGAACCCAGCCCACTGGGTCCAGTCCCCCAATTGGGGCCAGGATGGCTCTGGAGGGACAGGGTCCTGGCCCTGTGCCTTGGCCTCCTGTACACCTGCCCAGAGGTGCCAGCAGGACCCTTCCTCACCCCTCTGCCAGGGCGGGGAGGCTGGCCAGCGGGGATGGGCGGCCTCCTGTTGCATGCAGAGAGGGCCTCCGTATCTTGTGCCCCCTGGATTTAGAAGCAGTGCCTGGAGGCTGGGCACTGGGTGGGTGTGGGCTGGGGCCTAGGTCAGAGGGGTCCAGCTCAGCAGGGCAGCTCAGTGAGGGCCCGAGGGCAATGCGGCCTGGGCCTGCCTTGCGAGCCTGGGTGCTGCCACCCCTCTGTGGAGGGTGCCATTCAAGGGCAAGCCAGGCCACTGCTCCCACCCAGGCATGTGCCAAGGACCTCCTGGTGACAGTGTGCTGGGCCCAGCTCAGCCCAGGCCAGCACGCAACCCGGCTCCTCCGACTTAAATCCTCCTGAAGAAAGAGAAGAGCCGTTTGCCCTCGGTGGTGCTGGGCTGGTCCCTGTGCCCCACATTGCCCCTGGAGAAGGAAGAGGCTGGCTGACTCCGCTCCTTCAGGTGCTTGTCCTTCAGCTGCCGGTCGATGACCCTGTGCATGTCGTCCTGCAGGGAGATGGGCGGCTCAGCAGGGATGTGGGGCTGGGTGGGGGACAATTGGGGCAGTGCCAAGTGCAGAAGGACATGAGATGAACACGAGATGAGATGAGATGAGTGAGGGTCCCACCCAGGACTGCCCACCAAGAAGAAAAGCAGTGAGTGAGAGAAGGAAGGGGCCTCACGGGGACGCTGTTGCTCCTTGGTGGTGTCGTGTCCCCCGGTGGACACTCAGAACCTTTGTCCCTAGAAACCAGAGAACTCTGTCCCTCTCCCTGGCCTCCAGCATGACCAGCCTCATAGGGTTGGCTGTGTGCCTGTTATTCTGTTCAACCCCCTACCCACTGTTTACCCTGAAGTCCTAGGGTGACCTCAGCTGGCTAACTCTCCTACCCAGTGACCTGGCTTCTGTGGGCACCTCCAACCATGGCAGGGAGGGAGTAGGAGGCTGGGGTGGGGAGGAGCTACACACTCCCTTCCCATCCCCCACTCCTTGTGGCTGAGGGCAAAGGTGCCATTGTCCGGGTGGACTTCCTCCACGCAGGCCTGAGCCCTTGCTCCACCCTACCAGGTCAGAGCAGGGACCCCAGCAGCTCCACTCTCCATGAGACTCCACTTGATAGAGGGTCCAGCCACTGGAGACCTCTGCTTTCGAGACATGGCCAATGGCCCTGTCAGAGTTGATCCCTGGACCCTTCATTCTTGAGCCTGGTGGCTCTGGGGTGTCCTGGGAACAAGACACCACCACCTCCCATCAGCCGTGCCAGCCACGCCCAGGTGAGGCCTCCCATGCTGAGGGCAAGAATGGGTCCCACCATGGGTGTCACTCAAGACAGTGCAGCTGACTTGAGTAAGCACATGCCCAGGTGGCGGTGCGGGTGTGGGTGTGGCCCTGGGTTCCTTTCCCCTCACCTCTCCTCCCATCCTAACCCTTCACTCTCCTCCCTGCTTACTCCCTCCCCATCCTCCAGTGCCCCCAACTCAGATCTCACTGGGAATTTTGGAAAGAAAAAATCCTTCCAAAGAGGCCAAAGTTTTCTCCGGCCCGTTGTAATCTGCATTTTTACACTCTTAAGCCATCCAATTCATTAAGGTAATTCCTTGAAATTTGTCTTTAAAATGTTTTAGCCTACACATGCACACGCACACATGTGCACTGCTCACAAACCCACACACGCCAGGACTCCTGAGGAGGAGGGCTCAGGTCAGCAGCAGCCTAATCACTGGCCACGTCTAACGAGGTGCCCGCTGGACAGGACGATAATGGGGGGAGGGAGGCTGGGTCTTGGTGGCATGTCACACTGCACAGATGATGCTCGGCAGACACGGTGGCCACAAGGGGAGGCGGCACAGGCAGGAAGCAATGGTGGCGGGGTGGGAGGAAGGGCTCAATCTCACCTCAAAGGCAGGAGGGGTGAACAACTAAAGCTGTTGATACGGGTACTGAGAAAGGCCACTAGATCAGAAACCAAAGGAGCCAGATAGTAAAGAGCCCTGAGGAAGCAAACTGCAGCCAGGAGAGAAGAGAGAAGAACAGGGCTGTGAGCCAGGGCCCAGCGTGCTGGGGGGAACCTGGGCCAGCTTCAGGTTAACCGGCCCCAGGTGACAGGACTCACACTGTGAAACCACCTGTCTGGTGCCTGCTGGGTTTTCTTGGGAAGAAACTGGTTCTACTCAGTCTTCCCCAGGAGTGGGGCGGGGAGGCGGGGGCATGAGCCCCCCATAGCATCAAGTGAGGACCAGGATCACTGCTCACCCATGTATGGACTCTCCAGTAACCAAGTAACGGCCTCTCTTTACACTGACGGAGGCTCAGGGACCCCAGCGCCTCCTTTACCTGCCAGGCCTCTAGCTGCTGTGAGAGGCTGAGCTTCTGTTGAATGGCATCCAGTAGCTGGCTGTTGAGTGCCATCAGGTCCATCCGGCACTTGGCGAGTTCTAGCTCCACAGCATTCTTCCTGCCGACAAAGGGGAACGAGGGAACAGGCCTGAGCCCCAATGCTTACCCAGCAGCGGTGACTGTAGCAGGCACTACGGGCCCTGGTGGGGCTCTGGGCTGTGTTGGACTGCCCCATTAGTCTCTCAGCGGGAGAAAGCGGAGGCTGGCTGCATCTGGAAGATGTACAGCCTTAGGAACCCCTATGGGACAGTTCCACTCTGTTCCAGTGTCACTAGGAGTCGGGATGGGCTCCATGGCAGTGGATTTTGACAAACATCCTATAAATTTTCAGAACCAACCTGTAGATGAAGTGACCGTTTATCAGCCCCACCTCACGGATGAAGAAACAGGTTCAAAATGGTTCAAAGAGGAAGACACTTTAGTCAGGACTGGAATCCAGAGATCAAAGGCCTCCCCATAGCACAATGGAGCTACTAATCTCTCCCCAAACACAGATTCCCACCGGAAGGGGCGTTGTTCCCGCTCAGGGGCGGGCTCCTTTCGTGTGCCAAGCACTTCTCTTGCGAGCCCGTCAGACAGAGGTGCGCCAAGGTACTCAGCATGGTGAACCGCACAGCGTAGCTACTCTCCACATTTCACTATCAGCAAAGGGGTTCCGAAAAGCACGAGATGGAAGCCATCACAGTGAGAACATGGGCACTGGACATTTACTGCCCATGGAGAAGGTTCCTGATGGACAGCTGCGTGGAGGAAAAACCCCAAACTAAGACCTTAGACGATATAAAAAAACCCACTGCTCTCGAGTGGATTCCGGCTCATAGCGGTTCCCAGACAGGACCATGCAGCCTCGTCTCTCTCCTGTGGAGTCACTGGTGGGTTTCAACCGCCAACCTTGTGGTTTGCAGTCCAGTGCTTACCCTACAGAGCCACTGGAGCTCCTTAGTAAGATGCCAGTGTTGTGGAATATTTGAACGACTACACAAAAATTGCAAGTGGGTATCTCTGGGTTATAGTCCTTGATAGGGAAGCCCGGCTTGCAAGCTTGTATTTTCACGTTTTGAACTTGCTACATTCCTAATTCAATGCAAAATACTTTATTTCTCGGAGGGGGAGGCACACGGTAGGAGGCAGCAGGCCCTGGTAGCCCGCGGTCTTGGCCTCCTCTCCCGCAAACGTGTGTCTGAAATCACGGCGAAGACACGTGTCCTCGCGGTGCAGGGCTCGCCTGCAGCCCTAGGGAACGCCAAGTGCTTTGGCCGAGGAGCAGCCGGAAGTAGAAGGTGGGCTACACCTGTAAAGCGCTCGCGACTAGCACTTCCTCTTCAGCCCACAATCCACCGACTTAGACCCGCCCCCGCCTCCTCCCCTACTCAACGCCCGCCCCGCCCGCACTGCGGCTGTGGACTGCCGCAAACGTACAGACCGCTCCAATAAGCGTCGGGGGCTCAGGTGCCGCAGGACGCCTCTGTCACGCCCGCTGCTACAGGCTGGCGGCGTTGGTTGCCACGGACGCCCATCGCCCCTTCAGCCAATGAATGTTCGAACAGACGTCCTGGAGCCTCGCGGCGGCACTTCAACCATTTCCCGGCAGGTGGCGCCAAGGCAGTCTGGAGCCCTGGGAAAGTGCTGACTAACGCCCCGGGATCTATGGGCCCAACCGAGGAAGCAGCTGCCCATTCTCGGCGTTGCGGGACGCCCTGCCTTCCCCCCGACCCCCACTCCCACTCCCGAGGGAGGACCTGCCATGCCCACCTCCATACTGCAGCCTCGGAATGCACCCTGGGGACCATTTCATGAGAAACCCCGACAGGAAAAGCAAAGCTACAGAAGCTTCTGAATTAATCTACTAATCACATTCTAAAACCTGAGTATTTCAGAGGGCTGGCAGAGCTCCATGTTTAACTAAAAGCATGAGTAACGGCTCCGTCTTGCTCCTGTAAGGCAGGCCACACGACCTGTGCCCAGGAAACAATCCTCCGGGATTGTTTTTGCTTTTAGTGAGGGCCTGTCACTTGTAGCCAGTAGAGCAGCTGCTTACCGGAAACAGTGATAGTAGGAGTTGGAAACAGTGATAGTAGGAGTTCAGGTATCTGGTATCGTTCCTGCAGTCATGAAGGAAGGATGCTGGGACTGGGGGTGGGGGTTGGGGGTGGGAGGAGAAGAGGGCTCACCCCTGACTACCCACTACAACTATGGAGTCTGGGAGGATGGGGAGCCCCAACCCCTGAGATTCCGATTGAATTGTTCTGGGGAGGCCCAGAAGGATTTTAATGTGCAGCCTGAACATTACCCAATATGCAAGGTAAGCATGGGCTGACTGTGATTACTCATCTATAGTGAGCAATTTCACATTATGCTTGTAGGTCTGGTTGGCTTTTGTCTCTCTCCCAACCCCACAGCATCTGCCTGCAGAATGGAAGCCTTTCTTCAAATGTACAATCTCTGAGAGGGACCCAGAAAGCAAGGTAAGCACGGGCTGACTGTGCTTGCTTACTAACCTACAGTGAAACAGTAAGTAAGCACAAGTCAGTCCGTGCCTACCAGGATTAAGAACCATCTCTGAAAGTCCTATACAGGCATGGGTGGGGAGCCCTTTAAATGCCAAAGTCTGCGGTCTCAGTGCCTGTGAACCGAGTTCATATCATTTGTAAGGAGGAGAGAACTATCCTTCTGGAATGATCTGAGCCCCTCTGCCCTTTCCGCACAGGGCCAGTCCTCCTGTACTGGGGTCCAGTGGCCTCACTCGAGTCTAGAGAGGAGTACGTTAAGCCGGCCCCTGATAGCGTCATCAGTGCCAAGGGCAGCACTAGGAGGCTTGGTACCCACTTGGTGGCTTCCTCTGTCCCCCTGGACACCTCCTCCCGCCTCTCCTGCACTCTCTGTTTGTGTTTCCCACCCACTAGGCTGATGCCTGGAGTCCTGGTGTGGCACTATGGGTTAATGCACTGGACTGAAAAGTTAGTTTGAACCATAAGGTCGGCAGAGCAAGCTCACCAGCCACTCCTTGGAAAATCCTATACAGGGTCCTATGGGTCGGAACCAATTTGAAGGCACTTAACAACAACAAAATAGGTATGTCTGTGTGGGGGCCAGGGCTGGTCCCTTCTAGTATGGCTCCTCCAATCTTAATTACTCATCTGCTTTGCTAGCTGACAGCCTGGACTGCTAACTTCCTTCTGCTTTTGATGCCCAAGAAGCCTCCAAAGCCAAGCCACTGCCACCACATCAGTTCCAACTCATAGCAACCCCAAAGGACAGAGTAGCGCTCCTAGAAGGTCAATATTTACAGTGGCTGACAGCTTCATTCTCCCACTAAGTGGCTGGTGGGTTTGAACCATTGATCTTGTGGTTAGCAGACCAACACGTAACCCATGACATCATCAGGGCTTCTGTTTATTCCCAACGGGCTTCCTTAATTAGTGATTGAATTTTGCCATTTTATGACCATTTGTAGCACACAACACCATTCTTTGTTCCTAAAGGTATGCTCCCCCTCTTCCTCCTACTTCAGATCACACAGCTTCTCAAGCATTCACTGAACCAAATAAAATTGTAAAGCTCTTTAAAATATATTAAGTGGCAAAAAGCTAGGCATACTGAGTATCGATCATCCCACTGATGTTAAAAAACACAAAACCCAGCAACTACGGCATATACAGAGCTCGAGTGGTGCTTGGCTAGCTTGGCTGCTAGCTAACCCAAAGGTGGTTGTTTGAGCCTGCCACTGGCCACCTGCTCCCGTAGACTTCAGCCTCGGAGACCCTACAGGGCCCTTCTTCTCGGGCGTGTAGGGTGACTATGGGTCAGAACTTGGCAGTACCTAACGGCAATACTGCGTACACGCCTACGAATACTTAGGAGGCAGATCTTCACAATTCATACACCCACAGCTTTCAACAGTAGTGTCCATCTGTGAAGCAGAATGGGACTGCGGTTGGAGAGGACTAGCAGAGAGCCTCTAAGTTTTTACCCTACTCTTCTTCTGCCTGCTTTAATGTTTTAACTGAGCATTGCTTGTATCACTTGAATATACAATCAAATATGCACACTCTCTCACTTGGCAATGGCCTCGTCCCGGTCCCTGATGGCCTTCTGAAGCTGCTCCTTTGGCTCCTTGTCATCGGAGGTCACCCGGAGCCGGTCTCTCTCCTCTTTCAGTGCAGTCATCTCCACACTCAGCAGCGTCACCTAGCACGAGCCCAAGGAGAAGGAATGTCATGGGGAAAAGGAATGGGAGGGCCCGTGCTGGCCCAGAGCTCCTGAGTTCGGGTGCTAGAAGTATCTCCTGATGATCAAATGCCCCGGGAAGGCCTGGCTACAGTGAAGGGACCACGCAGTCCTAACCTGCAGCCATGAGGCCAGATCCTCTCTGCCCCCAACACACCCCTTGACCTGGGATCCAAGGTGCTGAGCTCCTGTCCACATGGTCCCCACTGGCCCTGGGTCCCATCACTCTGCTGACAGCCCCCACTGCTTGCTGCTGCTTCTTCGTTCACCTCCCCTGGTCAAAGTCACATGGACTTTCGACACCTAATGACTTCATCTCACGCACTCTGGATAGTATCAGGGGGGACCAGTCCCTGGAGGACATCATGCTTTGTGGGGAGTCGGGGAAAAAGAGGAAAATCTCATGGAGATGAGCTGACAGAGTGGCTGCTAACAACGACTGTGGGGATGACTGTGCCGGGCCGGGTGTGGTTCTGTTGTACCCAGGGTGCCTGTTAACTGGAACCAGCTCGGTGGCACCTAACAACAACGGTACCATTTGCTTCAGTGACTGGCACCCCAGCCAACTCGGGTCTGAGTCACCCCTGGAGGTACCCTGTGCCGATGAGGTGCCTTCCCAGTAGTACCCTCCTGCTGGACCAGGCCCCTCGACACTGTGAGAGCGGCGATGACCCACTGGACCCTCTGCAGTGCACACCTGTCGTTTACTAGTTACTCATCATCTCAAATCCCTTGCTCTTTTGGGGCACTCTAGGTTTATGGGTGAAGTCCTGGTGTGAGGCTGTGGGTTAATGCGTCAGACTGCAAAGTCCTTTGAACTGCAAGGTCAGTGGTTCAAGCTCACCAGCTGCTCTTTGGAAACCCTATGCAGGGTCATTATGGATCTGAATCGACTCTATGGCACTTAACAACAACAACAACAACAGGTTTATGGGCATGGCCTTCCATAAAGGGAGCCAGAGGAGGGACGTCACTGCCTTTCCTAAGCATGCCCAGGTGATGGGTGGGGGTGGGGTGTTGATGTCCAGGGGCAGATTCTTTGTCTTTCCTGTGAATTCTGAGCTACCAGCTGGATGCACTGCCTTGTCTTCCTGCGTATGTAAGCAGAGCATGTTTCTGTGAGGTCAGACAGGAGTTCACTGTCACAGTGTGAGGCTTTTCCAGCAGGAGGCTGCAGCCACACAGGCTTACTTCCCTCCCACAGGGCACAGGGGCCACCTCCCAGGTCTAAGCACATGGAGACAGAAGGGCACCGAGCCGAGGCTGTCTGGAGACACCTCCAAGTTGCCAGGCCCTGAGGAGCACCAATGTCCAGGAGATCTGAGGGCACCGGTACCACGGGCCACAGCCTCTGTCCTCTCAGGACACTGGCAATGAATGAATGCCTGTGGTCTGTACTGCAAACACCTGGAAGCGGCAGGTGGGCGGTGTGTGTGGGGGTGCATAGTTGGCAGGTGCATCAAGCCCTGAGGCTGACAAAGCGCAGGCCTAAAGCCTGCCCGGGCCTGAGTACTACAGCTTTTGCGGCTGGAAGGAAAGGCCCATGACAGAGAAAGCCAGCTGGCCTCACACCCACGGAGCCCTCACGTGGACTCGGGGCAGCTGAAGGCCAGCCAGGGGTCTCGCCAGTTGAGAGAGGAACAAGGAAATGCCAACACCTATGTCAGTTTGAATCGCAAGGTCGGTGACACTTCACAGCAACACTGTAACAAGCTACAGATAAACTGCAAAAGAACTTTCTGCTTTGCTCTGGGAAAGGTCTAGCTTATCAACCAACCAACCGTCTGCCTTAGGAGAGGTGATGAGGGACTTAATCTCTTTTAAACTTGACATAAAAAGCTAAGACTGATTCACCTCCTGCAGGTGGTGGTGAGGCTCACAGGAAAGAAACAGTATCAGGCTGGTGGCTGTCTGTACCGAGCCTACTTGGGAGACAGAGTCTGGATTGTCTATGCATTCATTACTTCCACCCCCAGTCCACTTTCCCCCAAATAAGACAACAGTGTCAAAGAAACATCCTGAATGTATCCTGTCTCATTTAGCAACGATCTTAGCATCACTTAAGGCCAGGCCCGGTGCTCCCAGGTTTTGGAGAAAAAGACAAAGGGGACCTCAGTTTGTCTTCAGGATCTAGGGTCTAACTGGGAAACGGAAATGTGAGTGAGGGCACTTCATGGGGAAATTACGCCTGATGGGGAAGCTGGAAAGATGATAGGGTCACAACAGTGCAGCTGGGAGGGGTGGGCGTTCTGGAAAGAGAGATGATGGGAGACAAAGCCCAGGTGTGGAGAGGCAGGGTGACGTGCCAGCCCCTTTTAGAACCTTTGCTCATGCTGCTAATAGACAGCAGGTGTGGAGGGAAAGGAAGGCTGGCTGGTGAGAATGAAGCAGACGGAGCCAGCTACCTAGGGAGAGGCTTCCTGCTTATTGATAATGGAAAGCCAATGCAGAATTTACTAGAAGCGTTTTCTGATTTCAAGTCCTGCTTCAGGAGGGTCAATTAACATCATCTGGAGGGACCTGGATTGGTAGGGGGAAGGAAGAAGTGTTGGGAGTGATCACCAGAGCCAGGAATGGAAGCCGAACCAAGGACAGGGGGCTAAGAGAAGGGCAGGAAGGCCACTTCCCTAACCCCAGGGTTAGGGTTAGTTTACCGAGGAGGAGCCGTCAGGGAAGGACTTGACTGGGCCCATGGCTCTCCTTCTGTAGGAACTGGCTAGTCAGGCATGAAGGATGCAAATGGGGACCTTCCCCAGAACCGCTGCACACCTAGCCCTCACCCCCCACCCTCCAGAGACAAGGTGAGCTTGGGGAGCAGGGGGGGGGGGGGGCTTGCCACTGACACACAAGCTGTCACGAGTGGGGTGGGGGGTTCTACAGCAGAGGGCACGGAGCTGAGGGCTTTCACGTCTGCCTGTGGATTCAGCCTCAGACCGCCACTTGTCAGTTGAAAACTTTTGGTTACACTTCTGCGGGGCTGGCGTTGCCAGTTTTGTCAGCCCTGTGGCTCTACGTAATTGAATTCTGGTCTAGTTTCCAGGGGAGAGAAAAGCGCCCAGTCAGGTAGGGAGGCAGTAGGCTCAGAAGCTGGGACCGTGGCTCCACCTCATCTTGTCTGGGCCCCAAGGGTAGGGGGTGTGGGAGCCTGTCTTGTGCTGATCTTATGCCTCTCAGGGGCAGCTCAGGGTCAAGCACAGCTCTGCTGTGAGGGCTGCTATCCCTCTCATTTTGGAACTCAATCTTCACCCCTCCCTGCGGGCCGTTTTGGCTGAAAGGTTTTCTGCTTTGGCATTTGGTGAGCTTGGGTAGGAGGGAGACCACAGAGCCTGGATTTGTGACGAGTTTTCCTGGTGGAGATGCCCCCTAAACACCAGACTCTCAGAAACATGAGCCACAGTTAATGTTTCTGGAACGTGTAGTCTCATAAACCTGAGACGTAAAAAAGAAATGAAACACATCAGGTAGTATTAAAGAGCTGAGGAGTAGAAGTAGCTCTCAGATGTGTAAACAGACTGTAAAGTTAGTAACAGTTTAATTAACCCAACCTGCTCTTGTGTTTCATTCTTCCCACCTGGGCGATCTGGCTTACGGTCAGAAGAACAACCCATTCAACTTCCACCTGAGGTCTCAGGGTCTAGGAAGAGACTCCACTCTGGCTGCCCGATCCCACTCTACGGCTCCCTCACCAGAAGAGGACAACAGCCCATGCTTGTGGGTGGCCTCCCCCATTTCCTGATAGTTTCAGGGAGACTAATGGCTATGATCTAAAATCAGGGCAGGAGTTTATTTCTAGAAAAGTCTTTTACATTTGAGGAAAACGGACTGAAGTAAAAGCCTCACCCAAGTCCCACCTCTCGGAAATCTCATGAGCACGTTGAGGGCAGGGTTTCAAAGGCCTGTTGGGTGGTGTCCCAGCAGTAGGAGGGGATGTACCTGGCCCCAGTTGAAAGGAAGGGGCTTAGTCTCCTAGAACAGAGTCTAGAAGCCCCTGCTGGGTGGGGCTGCTCACAGGGACTTTACATCTTTTCAGACAGAACTCCAAACAAAGAAGGAACACAGAAACAGCCATGTGTTTTGCTAAAGCAGAAATACAGACCAATAGAGCTGGTGGCATTTGTTCCCTGGTTTGCAGCTGGGGAAGCACCTGCCCAGGGACTAACCAACTGACCCCTGGCTCTGTGGGCACACCGGCTACGGGTGTCCCTGCCCATTGTACTTTGGCCCGGAGGACTGGGTTCTTCTCCGGAAGCCGCTAAGCTCACTTCAAGATCAGGTCATGGGCCCTACAGGCTGCCAGAGGACAATTACGCCTCCCACTCACAAGCACGTCTGTCCCCTGCCCACGACTGAAGACGGGTGCTCACTTGACTGTGGAGTTGCTGCAGCTCTTCTAGGCTCTGCCTCAGTTTACCCCTCTCTCCCTCCATGAGTTCCCTTAGGGCTCTTGAGTCCTCACTGGTCTGCCGTATCTGTTCTTCTAAGGAGTCATCGTCAATTCTCCGGGAGCTCTGCCAGCCAGAGCCATGTGATGAGGGGAGAGATGAGGAGGGCGGGGGTGAGAGGAGAGGGGATGATGATGAGTTGGTGAAGGGGAGGGGACAGTGTGGAGGGGTGGAAAGATGGAGGAGAAAGAACAGGGGGATGGTGGAAGGGAGAGAGATACAGAGGGGAAGAAAGAAGATTAGGAGAGACAGCTTCTCTTGCTCTATTTCAGTGGGCAAACAACAGCACAACATTTTTCATCTTTTCACTTTTTTACATTTTTCGTCTTGTTTCAGGTTCCTGGGAAGGGAATGTCTGTTTGTAATGACACCCTCCGCTCTGGTCACTCTTTCCCACCAAGATGGCCCTCCATGGGCCCTGACCACACATCCCACAAATCAACACGGCATGCTCAGGTAAGACCAACATCCTATTACCTTACTTCACCTCACATGGGTAGAAAGATACAGCTATTCTATAGTTGAAACTACAAAAAATGAAACCTGAAGAGACACCATAGCCAGAGAGCTGGGAGTGTGAATAGAGAAGATACGGGACAAAAACCTGCCGTGAAGCTGAGAAATGTCTCCTTGTCCAGGAAGCTCACATGAACGTGAACAGCTCCCGCCTCTTCAGAAGGAGCCCCACCTGGAGTCCTAAGAGGCCCTCGAAGCTGTATGCAGCTTTCTGTAAAGCTCTTAGATTCTTTTGACCAAAGCTTCCAATCCTATGTAGGTTTGCCTATCCATAAACAACTCCAGCATCAAGACCAATAGTAACTTGCCATTTTTAACCCGGATACAAATTCCTAAGTCAAAGCTTCCCAGGAAATCTCTTGGCCTTGCGGTCTTTGTTGCTTACCCACAGCTGTAGAGAAAAGGACTACAGGTGTGCAAGAGGGCATGGGAGCCTTCTCTCCTGGAGCACCCAGCTCCCGTCTGGCCACCAGTATTCAATGCTCTCAGACAAGCGCTCAGGAGACATTCCCGATGATATTTTATAAGGCTCTGTGGGTTAATGCGCCAGAATGCAAAGCCGTTTGAACTGCAAGGTCGGCGGTTCAAGCTCACCATCTACTCGGAAACCCTATACAGGGTCGCTATAGGTCAGAACCGACTCAACGCCGCTTAACAACAACAGCAAAGGTTGCTGGTTCTAACTCACGAGCTGCTCCTTGGAAATCCTATACAGGGTAGCATTAGTTGGAACTGACTCGATGGCACTTAACAAGAAGTTGCACGATTAGCGATTAGCCTCACTTCCTGTTCTATCCCTAGCCACTTCCTGCTTACTACTAGCCGGTTCTTGGGTTATGTAAAGAGCTTGCGGACTGGCCCTTACCGTGGGCTCCATGCCATCCACGATGCTCTGGATCAGTCTCTTGAGCTCGCTGAGGGCAGTGCGCAAGCTACCGGCTGGCACGTCCTTGGCGGACGAGGTTTCTGAAGACTCATCCATTGAGGAGTCTGTGGACACCGCCGAGTCGGCACTGTCGTTTCCTCGAAGGTGTGAGCAGAGGTATCGAACCTGGCAGTAGGCTTCCCAGAGCTGCAGCCTCAGCTGTTGAGAGAAATGTGGCTGTGGATGGTGGGGTCTAGAGGAGACTGCCACCTGCTCATCTTTTTTGAGCATCTGAACCCAAGACACCAGTATGGGGATACCAGTTTTTGTCGTCGTTGATTTTAAATCACCTGTCCTAAGCAACACTGACACCTGTTTTGGGCACAGTGTGTCTATACCCACCCACTGTCATCCTTCTCCCAAGGAGTGGCTGGTGGGATTGAACTGCTAGCCTTATGGTTAGCAGCCCATGCCACCTGGGCTCCTTCACCTGTCCCTCTTCTCTTGCTCCTCTCACTCGACAGATAAAGCCCTTCTTTACATAAGCACAGTATCTTCTATAGGAATCAGAACGATGAGGGGAACGTGGAGCTATGGGTGGGCCACTGACTGGACACGATGGGCCATGAATGTTCTAGAACTTTGTCAGTACAACAAGTATGATACTGGTAAGAAGACTTTCTTTTGAGGAAATGGCATGGGTCTGTGCCTATGCCCCACTGTCCTTTGGCGATTCCACCCTTAATGTCTCAGACGACGTGGGTGTGGAAACAGAGGGCTTCAGGTTTGCCACTGGAATGGGAGGTAGAAAGGTTGCAGGGCTCTGGAGCCCGGGGCCCAGGGCCCTGTCCATGTCATGTGTAAGGTGATGGGGGTGGCACCTGTTCGCGTTCCTGTTCCAGCTCTTCGGCCTCCATGCTCTGCTCTATCTCCGACAGGAGGGAGGTGCTGGTGGCCGCAGAGCTCTGCAGACTCCTCTCCTCGGTCAGCTCCTCCACCTTCATGTGCAGCTGCCGGTAGGAGAGCCGCACCTCCTGAAGCTCCAGCTGGCTTTGATGCAGCTTTCAGTAGAGATGGAAAGGGAGGGCAGTCAGTATGGTCAACAAGTCCAGCACGGACACACAGAGGTGCTGGTGGCTCTACATCCCACCGGCAGTGCATAGAAGATGGTACAGAGGAAGAGAGGGGCCTGCTGATGAAAAGAGAACTAAAAGACGGGTCAGCCAACTGCACTGTGTGGGCCTATTGTAATAGGTATCTTCAGTAAAGCAGAAATATTCGAAAGATTTATGATATATGACTACTGACTATTTGATGGCATTAGGGAAATAATGTTAAAATAAAAACCAAAACCAAATACAAAGTTACAGACTTCTTTATGGGGCTGTTTTGTGACTTGCTTTTCTATTTGTGGATTGTCTCCATTGACAACCAAGATGACAATTCATCTTCAATTAAAGAGGCCAGTCATGATGTGACATGCCTGATTTTTCATGCTTACGATTTCGAATTGCAACTGTTCTTGCTTTCCCTCAATTTCATCATTTTAACATTTTAAAACTACTTCAATATCTGATAACAGCATCATCCACCTCAGTCATTAGTGTTGTTGTTTGTAAGTGTCAAGTTGGTACCAACCCATAATGACCCTGTATAGGGTTTCTGAGGAGCAGCTGGTGAGCTTGAACTGCCAATCTTGTGGTTCAAACCGACTTTGAAGTCCAGTGCATTAACCCACAGCGCCACACCAGGACTTCAAAGTCATTAGTATTCCTTAGCAAAAAAGGGATTGCACTTTTGGCTTGGTAATTACAATTAGCCTTTCAAAAATATAGTGAACTTATGATTTTTCCAGAGCTAAGTTAACACAGTGGTGCAGCAGGATAAGCACCTGACTGCTAACCAGAAGATCAGTGGTTTGAATCCACTGGCCACTTTTCTGGAGAAACACAAGGCTTTATACTCCCATAAAGATCCACAGCCTCGGAAACCAGGTACAGAGTCACTGTGAGTTGGAACTGACTTGATGGCACTTAAGAAGAAGAAGAAAATAATTTTGATTTTGTAGGTTTAATATTATTGTACCAATACTTTTGAAGTCCTTGAAAACCCACTGCCACTGAATTGATTCCAACTCATAGCCACCAGTAGGACAGGGTAGAACTGCCCCATGGGGTTTGCCAAAGTTGTGATCTTTACAGAAGCAGACTGCCACATCGTTCTCCTGCCGAATGGCTGGTGGGTTCAAACTGCCAGCCCTTCTGTAAGTAGCCAAGCACATAACTACTGCGCCACCAGGGTTCCTTCTCTTAGGTGTACTTGTCGTCGTTAAGCACCGTGGAGTCGGTTCTGACTCATAGCGACCCTGCACAGGGTTTCCGAGGCTGTAAATCTTTACGGGAGCAGAACGCCTCATCTTTCTCCCACGGAACCGCTGGTAGTTTTGAACCACTGACCTTGTGGTTGGCAACCCGACTCGTAACCACTACGCTACCAGAGCTCCTTTCTCTTAGGTGTAGACCCAACAGAAATAACTGCTTATGTGTACAAAAGCACCAACAGGATGCTCCTAGCAGCTTTATTCATAATAGCTTTGTATGGAAAACAAGCCAAATGCAAATAAAAATTAAATGATAAATAACCTGTGGCAGGAATACTACACAGTCACAAAACACAACACATTGTCACTACAAGACGTTTTTTATATTCTGGTCAGCACTATACCAGTGATGTGGAGTCCTGATGTGGTGCTGTGGGTTAATGTGCGGGACTGCAAAGCCGTTTGAACTGCAAGGTCGGTGGTTCAAGCTCACCGGCTGCTCCTGGGAAACCCTCTACAGGGTCCCAATGGGTTGGAACTGTCTTGACAACACTTAACAACATACCAGTGATGTGATGTGATGCTTTGGTCAGCACTACACAATGGGCTCCAGGTTAGCAGCAATTATGAGGATAGCTCAGAACTGGGCAGTGTTTTGTTTTGTTGTGCATGGGGGGTTGCTATGGGTTGGAGCAACCACCTACCATTGAAATTCATCCCCCGTTGAATTTCACAGGTATAATGTTGGTTGAAACAAAATATACGTGTGACTGTGTGTACAGGAAGTTCCCACACTTCATGGAGACAGAGGTGGACAGAAGTTTGCCTTGGAGGAAGTGGTCGGATATTTATGGGGAGGAGGGGAGTGCTGTGTATTTTCGCCTGAGGGGCAGTTACCCTGCAGCAACGCAGTCATAAATTTCACTGGCTGTCCACTTCAGACTTGGGTGCTTTGCTACATGTATGCTCTATTTTAATGGAAATGTCATTTAGAAAGGAGCTGGGGCTGGGATTAGGAACACCACGTGGGGGGGTGACAGGAAGTTTCTGAGCCCATGGGGAGAACAGTCTTGCCCCATTTCTGTGTTGCATCTCCCAGTGTCAAGATAAGGCCCAGACGTCCTCTGGTCCCTCACTCTCCAGATCAGGCACCTGAGCCATTGTGAAGCCGAACTGGACTCCTGACGGGCAGACCGCTGCTCTTTCTACTTCTGCACACGTGTTATTTGACTCATACAGCAGACACGCTGACTGTTCTAAAGCTCACTCAGGGAGAATTCCAAAGTTCCAAGTCCTCACGTTCTCTCATTATTTTCACTTGTCTAACCAAAGTCCTTCATCCTGTACACAAAGCGATTTGTTGTTTTTCACTCCTTTCTGAAAACTCACTCACTCACTCACTCACTGCTACCGAGTCGCTTTTGACTCATAGCCACCCTGCACGGGGGGTTCTGAGACTGAGTCTTTACAGGAGCACAAAGCCTCATCTTCTCCTAATAAGCAGCTGGTGAGTTTGAACTGCTGACCTTGTGGCTAGCAGTCTAGTGCTTGTCCTACAGCACCACCAAGGCTCCTTTATGAAAACTGGGAAGAGCGAATTAATGTAGAAACATTCCTTTTAAAATTGATTTCATCCTATAAATTGAGTGTTATGTACAAGGGGGCTTAGAAAAAGTCATGGCAAAATGGAATGAATTTTAAGAGAACGTGATTTTGCCATGAACTTTTGAAAACTTCCATGTATATTGTACACGCTTCAGACTTTTCCCGTAGACTGTCTAACTTGATTTTTTTTTAAATTTTATTTTGTTGTTGAGAATATTCACAGCAAAACATACAGCAATTCAACAGTTTCAGCACGCACCATTTAGTGATATGGATCCCAGTCTCTGATTCGGCAATCATTCTCACCCTCCTTTTCAGTGTTCCTTCCCTATTACCATCAATTCATGCCCCACCCCAAGGTTCACATTTAGTCTTTCAAATTGCCATTGTCAATTTCATCCCATATAGACCGTTCTTAGGAGTCCTGCTATTATGCTGTAGGATAAGCACTGGACTACAACATCAGTTTGAACTGTAAGGTTGGTGGTTAAAATCCACCAGCTGCTCCTTGGAAACCCTATATAGGGTCACGGTAAATTAGACTTGACTCCACATCACTTAAAAACAACGAAAGACGTTTCTTAAAGGAGCATAATGCTCAAGGCTGTCTTTTTTTAACGAATGAAGCTGAATAATTATTTGGTTTTAAGAAGACTTCAGGGGATGCTTTTGGTTTGAGGTTTAAAGAAGTTCTCAGGGCCATAGTTTCAGGAGTTCACCCAGACTCTGGCTCCACAAAGTTTGGAATCCATGAGATTTTGAAATTCTTGGCCACATTTTCCACCTTTTGATTAAGATTTTTCTATGCAATCTTCGATCAAAATGTTCAGTAATAGTGCCGGGCACCATCGAGTTCTGATCTCTTGGCAAAGGAGGAGATTGACCATGGAGTCACTTGGCCTCAGGGTCCATGTCCTCTTCCTGTCACTGACTCTCTTTCATCTGTTGTTCCAGGTGGAGAGAGATCAATTACTGTGTCTTGGAATACTACCTGCAAGCTTTTAAGACCCAGGCACTATGTAACAAACTAGCAGGCAGGACAGAAGTTCTGAACACATTATAGACCAATTAATTGGCAAGTTCTATGAAAACTATGACCCTAAACCCTGAACCAAGGAACCACATCCCATGAGGTTTTGCCTCAGCAGCTGTCTGCATACTCTCTCTCTCTTTTTTTTTTGGTCATTATTGCAAATATATCTATCACACATTTTTTTCCCCTTCATCTTCCATATCTTGTCATTTTCTCTAGATTCACTTTCAAAAACGTTCTTCTCGATTTCTCTTTTCAGAACTTTTTTTTTTTGAATTCGGGTTTACAGAGCAGATCATCAGTTTTACATCCAACGAATAATGTGGCATCACTTTTCCCACTTCCTGCGTTTCTTATTTCCATTCCCTCCTCCTTCCCAACCCTTCCTGAGCTTTGTCATTGGGTAAATGTGGCCTGGGTGATCTTGAATAGTTGCCCATTCTATGTTTTCTTAAGTGCTGTGGAGTCAGTTCTGAATCACAGCAACCCTATACAGGATTTCCAAGGCTTTTTAAATTGTTGTAGTAGCAGAAAGCCTCATCTTTCTCCCACAGCACGGCTGGTGGGCTCAAACCTCTGACCTTGTGGTTCACAGTACAGTGCTTATTGTATGGAGCACCACCACACTCCCATGATATGAACACCTCACTAGTATTGCTGTCTTCCGCCCCTCCAGCCCTGCTGCCTACATATCTATCGCTTTGCTGAAAATGGGGTCATGGGGGTTAGTTTAGTTCTAGAGCTAAAGGGGACCAAGGGCCACAGTCTTAGGGTTCCATCTGTCTTTATCTGACCGGTAAGCCTGGTGTTTTTTTATGATTTTGAGTTTTGTTCCACATATTACCCCCTTCTTCTATCCAGGATCTTCTAATGCGATCCCATCTAGTTTTGGTCGTAGGGTCGTGGGGACAGTCTGTCCCACAGTGTTTGCCAATTCAGCCTTTTAGAGGTGTACAGCTCATTGTCAGCAATGGTAATAATTGGCTGTGTATCCTTGCCATTACTAGGATTTCCCTATCCCACTTGGGATTAACTCCTTCTCCCCTGCTTCCTGCCCCTGGTAATCACTAATAAACTTCGGTCTCCATACATCTGCCTTTTAA